CCCCACCAAGCAGGCCCTCTGCTTGCTGGCCACAGTTAATCTTGGAACTTCTAGGAACAGGATGTTGATTGGAAAGGATGGAGGAGTTGCCATGAAGATGTAGGTAAACATCTCACAGCAGCAACTAGGAAGTAGCTGCACAGAAGTTTAGTTCAGCTCTGAGATTTTGTTGGTTGGGGCTACATTCCACACCTTTGGAAGCCAACGTGTTACACGGAAGTTTTATGCCACTGCTAAACTGTTATTACAGTCCCAGCTCTTACCAGTTCCCCTGGTCAGAGACAGTGTCCCTAGACAGAGGAACTATAGCTCTGCTATGGCTTGTACTTCCTGGTTTGGCCTGTTTTATTCAAGCCAAACTCCAGTACCTACACATGTAGAGAAACAGCCCCAACCCACCTTACTGTCATATGTCAGAGACCCCGGGGAGAACTGATTGCACCTGCACGAAAGAGGGGTGGCTTTTTCTAGCCTGTCTGCCTCCCCATTCCTTCTTTGCTTTATGCCTCGTGTGTCAGTGACATTGGTGGCTCTGCTCCTCTCTCAGCATTGGCAGACAGGGGAAGAAGGGGCCTAGCACTAGGGTGCTGAACACTTTCCCTGGCATGGGTTACATTTCTCTGGGCCCCAGAGGAAAATTGGTTCTGCTTTTGGCATTGCTCCTAATGCCACCATAGGCTAGTTCTACAATGAGTATGGAAGAATAATTCAGCTATTGATGCTTATTATCTCAAGCCCTGCACCCCCAAATAACACAACTGCTTTTTAGTTGTTGAGATAATCCAAAATTCTTCGTGACATTCAAAACATCCCCAAGGATGACAGAGCCACTACCGTAAGGTATATTAAATAGGTAGGTTTCATTAGGTATCCAATGAAGAGAACACCACGCGCTATTCAGGCAGGAGAAAAAGTTTATTTACCGAACTGCTGTCCCGCCAAGCATGGGGCGACCCACCCCTGGGCCAGGACTTATCTAGGCCAGGGACAGGAAGAGATGTGGCCAGGTTGGGGAAAGGTGTGGCCACATTGGATCCAGATGTGACCTCAGGGTCTGGGACCCTCCTAAGGTCAGATGGGAGGCATGTGACCAGAGGTGGCTCAAGATGTGACCTCGCAGGAGGGGATGGTAACTGTTTCCAGGTGTGCCAGTTACCTAAGTTACAGATACTGGGCAGAAACTTAGCGAAGAGGTAGGGAGGTGTTCATGTGCAGACCTTACAACTACCAGTAGATCAGATTGCCACAGACTTTTCTATTCATTGAGAAAGACCGTGACCAGCACAAAGCTTTCTTATATCCTGATAAACTCATGTTAATGAAGTTCAAGTTCTGATACAACTATTTAAAGAAAATAACAAAAAAGATGTATATCCTTTTACTGTTAAGTATGATCATCTCCCCTGTATCTGCAGTTCTAATTTCCATAGTTACAGTTACCTGTAGTCAACTTTAGTCTGAATATATTACATGAAAAATGCCAGAAACAACCAATTCATGTTTTAGTTGTTTGTCATTCTCAGTGGCTGGATGAACGTCTGTTCCCTCTGGAACATGAGTCATCCCTTTGTCCAGCATGTCCATGAGGTATAGCTACTTCCTTTAGTCACTTGGTAGCTCTCTTGGTTATCAGATTGGTTGGCATTTGTGTTCAAGTAATCCTGTGTAGCAGGCCAATGCTTTGCCATATGGTCTACCTCATTCATTACATTTTATCTCATCATCATCATCATCATCATCATCACATCCTCCTCCTCCTCATCATTATAGTGGTAGATTAAGCTTCTCTGAAAGAGACCATGTTCTTATAACATTTGTTACACTATATTGTCATAATTATTCTGTTTTCTTATTGTTCATATCTATCTGCTTTGATTTATAAATTCAACTTTATCATTGATGTATATGCATAGGAAAATTCATATATATATATATATATATATATATATATATATGTTACAGTTTGGCAGAAGCAGTGATATTCTATTTTTATGCTTCCTGGCATACAGTAGTGAGTTTTGTCAGCGGCTGATACGATTAGTTAAAACTAGGTTTGTGGATTTCCTTGATCCTTGTTTATTTTATCTCCTACCCACTCTCCCTAGGGGACAATCAAGAGTTGTTTTTGAAGGTCTTGATTTTCCTTTAAGTATTTTACTATTTGTGTCTTTCACATTCTTGCTTATTAATGAAAAAAGAGGTCTAGAAATGGAATTTTCGGTGTCTTCCTTCCTATCATTGAGATAAGAAGTTCCTTCACAGTTGCTATTATTTTGATTTTTTTCTCCCCTAAGCAGAGATAGCAATTTATTGAACCATAACTGAAAGGAATACTGGGGTAATCACAGAATCTAAGAAAAATCAACCTGTTGCAACAATGAGAAGTACAAGTTGTCATGTCAAAAACGAGCTTTACATCGGTGCGGGGGGAGAGGGGGGAGGATGGGGGGGAGGGGGGAAGCTGGGAAGGGATGTGAAGGGTAAACATAGGAGGAGGCTGCAATGCTTGGTAAGAAATGTATTATCCTGCCCATGTAATTGTAACCCCTCTGTACAGTATGTTCACAAATAAAATTAAATTAAATTAAATAAAAAAAAAGAAAAATCAGTAGGCGCCAGATGGGGTGAGCTTATTTCTTGCTCCTTTCTTGTCCCTCCCTATCTCCACCCACTACCCCACCCCACCCCTGCCTTGCCCCCTGCCCTTTAGCTCAATCCCCTCCTATAGCTCCATCTTTTCCCTGTGCCAGGCAACAGCAGCACAGCCCTGTTTAGCAACCCTGTGGACCGCTACTCTTCTTTTCTTAGAGTCTGTTGATTTTCTTTAAAAAAAAAATTATAATCAATCACTTGCCATAAAAGGAGAACCACCTTGATTTTAACCAAGCTACGCGTACTCTGCAGTTGACATTAATAAAGCAAAGATCACACCGGGCCTTCGAATCCCCCTCCTAGGATATGAGGCTGGAGAAAAATGCCTGGTGTTGGACCAGAAGTGCTAAATGTCTGAGTCACTGGGTCTCTAAGAAGTGAGATGTGTCAGCAGTGGCTCCTTATACCATGAAGACAATTCATAATTTCTTGATTTGTTATTCTGGATTCTTTTTTTTCCCATCTCCTGGCTTCCTCTCACCCCAGCTCCCCAGTGACTGCTAATTGAGTCAATAATACCCAGAAATATCTTCCTGTGCTTTAAAATACAGAAGCTGGTAGATTAATGTCTCCTTGTTCTCAGAGGTAAGGACCACTGAATAAGAAGCTGGCTTCTTCCCCTCTCACATTCATCTCCAGCGATGACACGTGTACTTATCTCTACCTGGCCTTGTCTGACACCATCCCCAGTATAGGCTCATGGCCTCTTAGAGAGGCGAGAACCATGATGGTGAGCTGTGCTTTATCAGCTATATCTGAGCATCTAGAAGATCCCTGGGGCTGAGGAGTGAGGAAAAGGAGTGGTCAGGAATTCATTTCTCTAAATTGACCAAGAAGACTTTGACCAAGGTATACAGAATGAACATGGATGATCCACAGCAGCATCGGCAGAGTCAGTGAGCCTTTAGTTTTTAGACTTTTTTTTTGTGTGTGTCAGTCATGGGGCTTAAACTCTGGGCCTGGGCACTGTTCCTCAGCTCTTCAAGGCTAGTGCTCTACCATTTGAGCAACAGCGCCACTTCTGGCTTTTTCTGCTTATGTGGTACTGAGGAATCGAACCCAGGGCCTCATGCATGCAAGGCAAGCACTGTACCACTGAGCCACCTTCCCAGCCCAGTTTAGGCTATTTTATCTTGTAAATTGCATAGGCTACTGGCATTGAATCATTTAGAATTCTGCTTGAGGCCTGGCTCTGTGGCTACTTTGGTGATAGTGATTGGAAAGATGCAGTTAAGGCAAAAGCTAGCAAGACTTTCTTATCAACAAAGAAGCCAGATATTGTGGCACATGTGAATAATCTCAGTTATGTAGGAGGTATAGATAGGACGATTTGAGTCTAAAGCCAACTCTGGGCAAGAACATGACACCCTATCTGAAAAATAATCCAAAGCCACAAAGAGGTGTGGCTCCAGTGGTAGAGGGCTACCTAGCAAGTGAGAAGTCCCGAGTTCCAACTCTAGTGCCACCCCAAGTTCTGTTTTTGAGACATAGCTATAAAGTCTAACATATCATAGATGTGTATGCTTCTGGGGGCATTCAGGAAATGCCTCCAGATTTTTTTATCTGGCCTTTGGATTAAGCTGACACATTTGTCAGAACCCCATGGGGCCCACAACATGGCACAGTGAGCTCACTCAGGAGGGATGAGAAACAAAGGCTTTGTTTGCTTTATAAAACCCACCAGGAAATATTAGAAGAATGCAATGCAATGCAAAGCTAGGAAGGATGAGCAGGATTCTTTACCATGATTGTGGGAAAGCATCCCTCCAGTCTCAAGTTCTCAGTCACTGTGATCAGCTGCTATTTTTAGCTGCTCTTGTGTGCTGTCAGTTAAATGTGTGGCCCAGGCTACAATTCCAGCAGTGGAATTGATTTTTACTGCTTCTTCTGCATCCAGGGAGTGGATTTAGGGTGGTTAATTAGTTTCCAGGTCAGGTCAGCAGATCTAGAAGATCATTCTAATCTTACTGCTGATTGCTCTGATCTTGGCATAGAGCTATAGACTCTAGTTATCATAGAGAACAGTTTAGAGTATTGCACCTATAGATATCCATGAAGAAAACATGAGACATCTCAGCAGGGGAGAGGGATAGGGTAGGAGGGCTGATAAATCTTCAAGTGCATCAGCATTTATTCAGGTCAGAGGTAAGTGCAGTGTAGGAGGAAGATGCAATATAGAATAAGATGCACCATTTACTTCCTTAGACTAGAACTAGCGTTGTTGCAAGGATGAACATCTGGAAAGATGTTTCCATAATGATCTGGCTTTGATTTAGGCTGGTGGCCAACATGTCTCAGCTCTAGTCCTTTCACTTCTGTGAGATACCTTCTTACTGTTTTCCTTATAGGCTCGATACCTCTCTCCACAAGCTCGCCGTCGACTGCATGCTGCCCTTGCTTCTTGCTCCACATCCATGCTGATCCTGTTCAACCTGGTGTTTCTTGGGGGCAATCAAGTTGGGAAAACCTACTGGGACAGGATCTTCATACAAGGTAAATTTCCAGGCAGTGTGCTTTCAGCCACTTCCTTCCATGAATGCATTGGGTGTCAAGGATGAGATCTGAAGATCATTTGTATTATATTCATGGAATATGACCTAGAAACATATCAATGATAGCTAGCAAGATAAATAGAAAGCGCACAGACTGGGAGAACTTCACTAGCTATACAATAGACAAGGGCCTCATATCAAACATATACCTAGAGCTCAAAAAATTACCCTCCCCAATAAAAATCCTCAAAGAAAGAACCACCCCATTAATAAGTGAGCTAAAGAATTAAAAAGAGGGCTGGGAAGGTGGCTCAGTGGTAGAGCACTTGCCTTGCAAGCCTGAGGCCCTGGGTTCGATTCCTCAGCACCACATAAGCAAAAAACAAAAAAAAACCGGTAGTGGTGCTGTAGCTCAAGTGGTAGAGCACTAGCCTTGAGCTGAAGAGCTGAGGGACAGCGCCCAGGCCCAGAGTTCAAACTCCATGACCAGAACCCCCCCCCAAAAAAGAAAAAGAGACTCTGGAGAGGAAATAAGAATAGTCAATACATGAAGAAATGTTCAACATCTCTGGCCATAAAAGAAATGCAAATCAAAACCACACTGAGATTCTACCTCACCCTAGTTAGAATGCCATTGTTAAGACAACAAATAATAGTAGATGCTGGCAGGGGTGTGGCCAAAAGGGAATGCTACTACACTCTTGGTAGGAGTATAGACTTGTTCAACCAATCTGGAAAGCAGTATGGACGTTCCTGAAAAGACTAAATATAGAACTACCCTGTGATCCAGCAATCCCACTCCTGGGCATTTACCCAAATGAACAAAACAAGGACACACTAGTGCTACCAACACAACTATGTTCATTGTAGCATTATTTACCAAAGCTAAGATATGGAGCAAAACCAGATGCCACTCAGTAGATGAATGGATCAAGAAACTGTGGTATATATACTAGGCTTCCATCAGCAAGAATGACATCTCCCCATTCATTAGGAGATGGAAAGACTTGGAATAAAATCATATTAAGTGAAGTAAACCAGACCCAAAGAAGCATAGGTCCCATGGTTTTCCTCATTTGTAATAATTAGTATATGTCTAGGATAGTCCTAGCAGAGGATCACAATAGCTCAATAGCTATGAACATATGACCATATAAAATGATGCTATTTGAAATAAACTCCAAGATATGAAAACAAGAAGTTTTTTAATATACTGTGTGAAATTATTTCTTTTTTTCTTTCATTTTATTTTTATCCTCTGGTTTAACCCCTGTTGTCACTGTTTTTGATTTGGGTACCCTGTGTCTTGTATATACATTTATCTGATTGGGGAAGGGAAGGGGAATAACAAAATGGTGAGACTAAGGACAAAGGGTGAACCAGTGAAGTAGCGATACTCATAAGCTACTATGTTGGAAATGAACTTTAAAATTTTGAGGGGGGAGTTGGTGGGGAAAGGAAAGTGGGAGAAAAACAAGAGATAGGGTAACAATGTGCATCAAGAAATATACTCATTGCCTTGCTTATGTAACTGTAACCCTCTGCACAACACCTTTACAATAAAATTAAAATAAAAAGAAACACATCAACCAAGAACTATTTCTAAGGGTAGCAATGATATGAAATACTCCTACTTTCTGATGTGTTTCATATCAACTACACATAATACTGATCAAAATATACTATTTCAACTCTCCTGAATATCACATTCCATTCTATTAAATTACTTTTCCAATTTCCTGATTTTTCTTCCTTATCTTTCCTACTGTAACTCCCAGACGCTAGTGTACTGCAAAGTCTGATTTGTCCTTCTCTAAACATCTGCTACACATATTTCCTGGAAGTCCCACTGCTTTGCTCAAATTGTGGGCATGGTTCCTGTGTTTGCCAGGGATATTTGAGTCTGAAGACTAATGGCCAATTTTATGCTTTGCTTTACAATAAGTGGATTGTCTCAGTGTCTACAGTAAAGCCACACCTGCCACAGGTATAAAGCTAGGACATGGGAGTTTTGAAACCATTACGAAAACAATTGATCATCATTAACTTGTGATCACCATTTCCTTCAGATGAAGACCGAGACCTCCATCATGCCCTTAAGAGAACTGGGAAATGTGGAAATATTCATAATGTATGTTACTGGAGACAGTTCATGGTGTTCTATTTCCCTGACCAGAGACACAGCATCATGCCTTGGGTCTTGGGGAAACTTTGCTGAGCAGAGACGACATGACTCTGTATGGCTGGCCTTCATCTCCACCTTTGGTTCCTAGGGTACCATGAGGCTTTTGCTGCAGCTCCTTTTCCAACAGAAAATAACCCTAACACCACTGCCTGGTTCTTCATGCCAGGTCATTCATCTAAATGATAGGTTTGGGGAGCCAGGCACAAGCAGAGGCTGCTAGAGATCCCTATTCTACTTTAATCTTGTCACTAAGAAAGCCCTCTTTGATCTGCTTTCTGAGAGATGTTTTAGTTGATAGTGTCTGAAAGGACTGTGTGCTTCTTAAGCAGAAGCTGTCCTTTAATAAAAATGAGAGATAATGGGATGCAAAGGATCTAAAGATGAAGGAGGAGGATAGAGTTTTCTTTTCTTGTATCCTACCACAGAATTTAGCACAATACTGAGAACATGGTGACTGGAGAAAATGCTGACTTGGGTTTACTAGGCACCTAGTGAGAAGCCTCTGCAAATAAAATGTAAACACCGAGGATGCAGGGATAAAAAGAAGCATAAGCTGAACATTATAGCACTTGCCTGTAATTCATGCAGTCAGGAGGTTGAAGCAAAAGGATTTTGAGTTCCAGGCCAGTTGGAGGTACATAGTAAAACCTTGTGTCTCTGCCTCTCTGCCCCTCTGCCACCCTGGGCCTGTGTCTGTCTCTGTCTGTCTCTCTGTCTCTGTCTCTGTCTCTGTTTCTCTCTTTCACACACACACACACACACACACATGTGCACATGCACACACACGTGCACATGCACACACACGTGCACGCATACAATGTGGCTACCAAATATACACACAAACAGGGAGGAATCTTCCGTTTCAGACATATGGGCAAGTTGCTAAAGGATATAGAGTGACTGACTTTCCATAGAAGATGGAAAGTACTGAGGAGGTAGCATGTGACTTGGAGCATTAAGTAAGAATTTTCTAATGTGCAAGAATCCAGGGGTGTTGGAATAATTCATATTGGTTGCCATATCTGAAACTCCAAAACATTGATAAATTTTTACTATAATGCAAGCTTATCTTTCTTGCAGCTCAATATAAATCCAATGGCTTATTTTATAAGCAGTGATTTCAGGATGGAACATTTGCTTTGACTCTTTGCCATATTGTTCTGGCATCTGGTCTTGGGGCTAGTAAATACTTAAAGTGGAAGTACCACATGACCTTTCTACTATTGCCTCATTGGCCAGAACCAGTCATATGACTGATCCAAATACAAGTTTGGGAGATAGAGAAACCAAGCAGAAAGCATTTATCAATTATCAGTGGCACACAGACAGCAAGCTGAATTGTAAGAGGCAATTGGAAATCTGAGAGTAAGGGAAGATACAGGACTAAGACATGTCAGAGTCAAAGGCATAAAGCTAGTAGATGAAGCCATAGGAATGGATTCGGAGCCAAGGAGCTACAGGGAGTGAGAAGAGAACATGGTGGAAGGCAAAGCTGTTGGGGTACAGGATGGGCAAGGGGAAAGACTGTAATTTTAAAGTGTTCTTTCTACTTCTCGAGGGCAGAAAGATAACAGTGTTGCTTGACAGCACCCCTATAGAATTATCAGTCACATGGAATTGGAGCTCTGAAAACTGGTCTGTGAAGTTGTAGGGTTTGAGGTTGTAGGGTTTTCTCTATAGTTGGCTTGTTTTTCTCCTCCTTGGGTAGGGTTCTGGGGCTAGGGAGACTTAATGTAGAAGGCATTTTATGTGCCCAATTCGTCAAATGAACCTGTTTCTAGATCTCAGCTGGTCTCTCCTACAGACCACCTGGGTCAAGGAATGTCAATTGGAGTTTCAACTCAACTTGTCTGTTTCCCATTGAGCATCTTTATCCCTGAATGACAGGGTTTAGCTATCTGTTGGAGGAAATGAACCAAATGATCTGAAATCTTCCATCCTGGAGAACTCTGGAATTTATCTCATAACTAATTTGATGGAGTGGATACGTGATTGTTATAAATATTCATGTATTGGTACAAAATATAATTAATGAGTCTGTTGGGTGCTTCCTCAGGCCTGCTGGGAGTGTTAATACGTGAGCTTTCTAAAATTAAAAACAAACAAAAAATGAAAATCTGAATTCAAACTCATCTGGCCCCAAATTCAAACAAGGGCTTGTTGCCCAGTGAGCTTGATGATCCCTTGGTCTCTTCCTTTGTGTACACATCGATTCCTGTCATACCAAGACCCATCTCTACACACTGAGCCAAATGCAATGGAAGCCCCATCTGTGAGGAATGGAGAACATTGAAGTTCAGGGTCTAGATTTCAAGAGTTCATAGAACGTTCTCATCTTTCTGTGCCATGAGGGGTTGAGACCTGTTTCACTGACAAGGAAGGGACACTAGCTTTGCATCCTTCTCATACATCTCACTTCAGGGAGTCCTGGCAGAGGAGAAAAGGGGCATGCGGGTGTCTAAGGGGCAGGGATTGTTGAGATATTGAAATGCCTCACAGCTAATGAGATGTAGAAGTGGATCTCCTAATTCTTAGGAGTCCCTTTCCAGCATCACTGATGTTCCTTAAAGCTTCCTTGTGGTTAGCGTGGGGGTGTTGTCTTCTACTGTCTCTACTTCACTAAATTTAACCATAGATTTGTTTGCTCTAAGCTGTAGTGTTTATCATTGTGTCTCTGTAAAAGACTTTATTCTGGTCTCTGTGGGTGATAGATGGGAAGCTGTAAAAGCAAACTCTTCCCTTCTGTTGTGCACCTGCCCTGCTTCTGGAACAGTGGAAAGCAGAAGCGTGGAATTGCAATTCTCAGGCTCTGGTAC